TTGTTGCATCATTTACACTATTTATATTTAAAGTTTTTGTCTTATGGGACAGTGGCCTAAACATTTCCTCTTGTTTGAATTTGTTGGTTTTTGTTTTTTTTTTTTTAATGGCATATCAACAGCTCTATGGGTTATTTAATGCCGAAATCTAAATATTTTTACACAATTTTATGGCTTCAATTACAGATATTTTTTACATAATTTTATACTTTTTTGTAAATAACTTGTCATAGAGAAAGAAAATAGTAACTTCCGACTTCCTAGAAATTGAGGTGGTTTTTGGACAAAAGAATATTTTTTTTTGCCAGGTGTATAAAAAGAATTAAAATTTTTGACTGTTGAGATTATTGAGTGACTAATAAATGGAACTATCCAGTCGAACTAGTGTGATTTATTCTGCACGATGATTTGGGTTTTGATTTAGGATTTACCAAGCGTTATGAAGGAAGCGCTATCTAACAAGGTATTCACTGAAATGGTTAATTATCTTTGGTTGACTTTTTCTTTGAATTGTTGAGTATTTATTTGTTTTTGTAATTAAATACTGTTATCTTTAATTATTAATGGCCATCATATGTCACAAAATATGTTTTTTAGATATATAATTTATAGATGACAAAATCTATTGCTGGATCATTTTCGATGAACCTTATTTTAACCAATTGATTTCTCATCATACATCCTTTTTCCTTAAAATGTATTACTACTGGTCATTTTGTTTATAAAAGTTATTCTCAATCAGTTGGCAGGACTTAGACAGGGGAATTAACAGGAGATAACTGATAACTGACATCCAACAGTCTACCTCAGCGAGCGAAATAAAGGGTTCAGTTCAACATTCCAACCACCTGAAGAAGGCCAGAGTGTACAACGTCTGAAATGTTGTGATAAATATGGCAACAAAGATGAGGATGATGACAGACAAACAATGTAAATAATATATATATATATAAAATATATATATATATAATTATATATATATATATATATATATATATATATATATATATATATATATATATATATATATATGAAAATATAAAAATAAATTATTAAAAATATCACAAAAAAACTTAAAGTCATCTAATTTTGAGATTTTTATGTCAAAGCTGATAATATTCGTAAACTGGGTAAATTAAAATCATCCTGAAGTCTGTTATATTATGACCGAAATGTAGCAAAATATTCAAATGCCCTGATAAAAATGTCAGATTCATAAAGTTTTGTCCCAATCCTTTGTAGTGATATAATATAAATGTTATTACTTTTTTATTAATTTTTAAGTTACTAAGAGAATAAATTGCTTCATTTTTTGTGACCAGTTCTGAAACATTGGTATTTGGCTTTTCAAAGAGAAGAAATTGTTATATACCAGAATGGTTATATTTGAATCATAAGTTTCCAAAAATTTTAATTAAAAACATTGATATACCTCCAGTGAAAAAATCAGTAGACTGGCTGAAGAAGTAATTGTTTGATTTATAGCATGTTAACTGCTGACGCAAAATCCTGTTGATTAATATTCACACACTGTCAAAATCTCTTGAGAAAGAAACTTTAAAATTATTTAATCCATGTCAGTTTTGCATCCTTATGAAAACGAAAGATTATAAGATGCATTTTAGACACTTGATACTTTTTTTACCATAAAGGCAAAAATGCCTCACAAGCAACAAAAAAGGTATGCACTCTGTATGGTGAAGGTGCTTTAGTTGACAGAACTAAGTTGGTAATTGTAGCCTTATTGATGAAAAATGATCAAGCAGACCTTTCATTATAGATATATATATAATCTATTGCCTATATTTTTGCAGCATGTTTGGTTAAGATATATCATTAAATAATTTCTGTTTTATTAAAAACAAGACCCTGGTGACGACATTGTGCTAATGTTGAAAGTACTTGGAATAAAATGAATATGCATCAACATGGTAATTTTCTTTGTTCCTTTAATAAGGATGCTAAGAAACTTGTCTGCAATTATTAGAGGAACCTATTAAAAATAAGTAGACAAAACTTGTCTAAATTATTTAATGAGACATGTCTTAATATGGAATATTTGTGTTATACTCTGTTGCAATTAGATCTCTTTCTGATTCAATCCATATTCTGGCCAGATGTGAATGCCATGAAGGCAGAGAAGAGTATATAAAAAAAAGTTTTTTCTGTGCATCGACATCATTTCTGGTCTACAAGGCTGTATCTATCTGACACCCCTTTACCACTTCAGCAACTCACCACCATCACCCAACTCAATACAAGGCATTCGCTTTGCTAGCAAGTCTGGGACGACACCTCACCAAACCAATGCCGGCACCTCAGCATAACCAACATGTACACCAACCATATCCTGTGACCTCTGCCAATGCAAAAATAGACCGACTCCTGGTTTTTCTCTTACCCTGACAACACACCAGACACGGACATTACACCTATTTTCCGATATATGTACGACATTGTGTATATATTAACGATAAATGTCATATTTTGCTGCAATTAGATTTCTTTCTCATTCATTCTGCATTCTGGCTGGATGTGAATACTATGAAGGCTTAGAAGAGTATATATAAAAAAAAGTTGTTTCTGCATATAGGCTCCATGTATCATTTCTCGTCTACAAAGCAAGCTCTGGCAGTGGCAAATCATGAATATTTATGGCAGAAAGAGATGCCCCTACCTGAATGACCAGTAAATGCTCTGTTTATAATAAGCAGTATTAACAACATTTCCCAGACTGAATGTCTAAGAAATCTCATACAAAGTATGTGTCCTTTGACAGGAATTGAACTTGCATCCTACACAGAACTGTCATATAGCCTCACATGCTATACCATTTTGCTATAGAGGGAGCATCTGTTTAGCAAGGTTAAATTACTGTTTTTCTTACATATATGTTTTATATATATATATATATATATGTAGGTTGTTCCTGACTCTTTACGATTCATTTTATATATATATATATATATATATATATATAAACCGTCAATAATTTCCCTATTGCAAATCATTTCAACTTACCAAATCATAACACAGATGACATCAGATGTGTGCTTTTGGAATCTTCGTTGAACAGCTAAGGGGCAAGATGTAGATCGGAGTTGAAATTGATTTTCAAAATAAATTCAAATATTAAGGGATTAAAAAGAGATTTGGGTTTACTCAGAGAGTATAACTTCCACAGAGGGGGACCTCCAACCAACAATATTCCTCGAAAGAGTTAAGTCTCTTTTTTGGGAAACGCACACACACATACATATGCGCAATCACTTATTGCACATACATTAGACCAAACAGTTTTCACATTCATTTAACAAACACAACTTTGTCACTTGTAATCCTTTGTTGTTAATACATTATCATTTGTTTGTACATATCGCTTCTTGTTGTTTCTTTATATTTCTTTACATGGACACACATCCCAAATCTGCCATATTTGTTGTGGGCATTTCAGGAGACACACGTGTTTATCTCTCAACACATACACCAGCTCGTAATAAGTCACTTGTAAACCATTGTTGTTAATACATTATCATTTGTTTGTACATATATATCGGTTCTTATTGTTTCTTTACATTTCTTTACAAGTCTGTCAGTCTTTACATCCCAAGTGTGCCATATTTATTGTAGGAATTTCAAGAGACAGACGTGTTTATCTCACAACACAAACACCGGCTCACAACAAATTGATTATTGATCCATTTAAGTTTCATTATGAATCATTGATTACTTTTCTGTCTCACCAGAGTGTCAGTGATTTGAACAGCTTTAGTATCAAGGGAAACGGCCAACATGTCAATCGCTAGATGGCTTTGTAGGAAGTGAATGGGCGATGAAACAATGTTTAGGAGAGATACCAAAGAGACAAAAGTTATTAAGAACTACAAAGGAGAGGAAGTTGTGGAGAGCCACGATTTCATATACACATTGTTGTCACTTGTAATCCTTTGTTGTTAATACAATATCATTTGTTTGCACATATATATATCACTTCTTGTTGTTTCCATACATTTCTTTAGGGGGACTCACATTCGGAGTCTGCCATATTTGTTATGGGCATTTCAGGAGACACAAGTGTTTATCTATCAATTTATACACCAACCCACGACATTCTAAAGAATGCCACACATATTAAAAGATAACATAACTTACTTACAAGGAAAATTCTCAAGAATGCTGCTATCAAATCTTACCAAAATGTAAATCTGCAACTCGGATTTTTTTAAAATATTTCTTTTCCCAAGCCAATATACATAATCATAAAAATATTAAAAACAGAAAAATTTTAAATAGGTTAAATCGAAACCATCTCTTATCTAAAATAAATAAATACATAAATTTATTCCACAAACTAAAATAAAATAATAGTTAAGAAAAAGAGAATTAAAACAAAAAAAATTCAACAATAATACAACATTTACTCACTTTCATTTATCAGGCATTAAATTACAGCACTTAGCATCCTCCATAGTTTACCTTGACTTTCACAGCCTGAAGTATATTTATGAGCCTTCTTTGATCTTCAAACATTTAAATGCAGTATCAATGATTATCTTCTATCTCTTTAATTCCTGCACTTTTATTGTTCTCTCTCCTTAATAGTGTTTTATTTTCTCATATTCTAACATTAATATTTAAGCCTATGTGTTTTTATGGCTTCATTGCCTTGCTTGAGGTGAAATGATTAAAAACATTTTAAATTCTTCAGTTTAAAGAGTTGAAAACCTAATATTTTTATTTGTGTTTATAAATACTTGTGGCAAAATAAAATCCTTATATTTGTCTTGATGAATTCCATCAGACAACTGAGTTTGTTGGTAGAGAAAAGTTTTCAGTTTTCTTTATTCATATATATGTTTTTCTTTATTATAATAATATTATTATTATATTTAAAATAAAATAAAAATTTTTTATCAATCTTTTGTTGTGTGAAATTGTTTTTGTCTCAATATTTCTCATTTTTACTTTCTATTGAATAACTTGATTGATTCTAATTTCAGGGGATATAATAAACTACATCTATGAAATAATCAAACAAAATTCAAAACGTAATGTTAATGGTAAGGATTTAATTATTGATTTTTATTTATTTTTTGGTGCATCTCACCGTGTCTCAATTTGAAAAGCTAATATTGGAAATAACACCGATTCACTTTGTATGTTTTTTTAGAAAGAAATTAAACATTTTCTCTACAATCTTATTCTTTATTCTCAGTCAGTGGTTACATAAATGGCCTTTTTGTTTTTCTCTACAGCCTCCGATATTCAGTTGGGTCCATCAAACGTTGGATTGTCCTTTAAATTTATGCCAACAAATAGTGTTTTGATATGTTGGAAGATTAATTGTGACAAAGAATTGTTTGAACGTAAGTGTGTTTTTTGTTTTCTTAAAAAATTTTTGAGAATAGAAACTGTTAGCATAAAACTTACGGCTACATCTAAAAATGATTATATGCCAGCTACATTCCTAATTGTATCATCCCGAACGAGGAAGTACAGCCACTGAAACACAAGGGGGGTTTACAGGGTGTGGGGGAATTAGGAACAGAAACATTAGTAATGAGCAGAAAAAGAAAAGAGTAATCAGGAGGACAGAAGATAGCGATTGACATTGCATTTAAATTTTTAGTTGGTATCATCCCAAACAAGGCAGTAAAACCCCTGAGACACAAGGGGTTACTGGGAGTTAGAAACGGAAACATTGCAATGGAGCGAGAACAAAAGAAGCGTAATCAGGAGAACAGAAAATAGCGATTGACATTGCATTTAAATTTTTGCAGATTATGCATTGTTGGAAAACATGGAATCGGAATGGAGTCCTACAAGTGAGAAGTACAAAAGAAGAAACTCTTAGCATAGAATTTACGGCTACATTTAAAAATGATTATATGCCATTATTTTATAAACAAACTAGCTTAAAAGCCGCATTCCTTATGAACGTTTAAATTAGCTCTTGCCCTGAATTTTGCAAATTGTTTTCCATTCAGTCAAATTAGAATCTTTGGCTTCAAATCAGGTCATTTTAAAACAATCCTTGTAGCTTCTGATGTGCTGAATGATGTGTTTTGATTCAGCTGAGTTCCCACCCAGAAGTGGATAGCAATGACCCTAGGAGAGCTGGTAAGTCTTCCAGCTACATTTTTCTTTTTTTCACACACACTATATATATATATATTTTGAACAATAAAAATATTAAAAAAATAAAATGTTCAGACACAGTGGGTTGTATATTAATATTCTTTCATTTTTATTATTATTTCATTTAGATTCCTTGACTAGTTTCGGCCAACATGGCCATCATCAAGAAAAGAAAAATTTTTTGCTTGCTGGTAGCAGTCAGTGAACTACAGAAATGAATGTCTTGATGGAGAAAACGACCTTTTGACTGTAGTTTTCATTTGTTTTTTATATTTTTTTAACATGAATTTTGGTCAGTCTTTGTGTTGGTCAAAGTTGTTATTTAAGATAAGGCTGGATGGATTCATGCTGTTCTGAATTCCCTTGGTCATTTTGACAGTTTTATTGATTTCTGGAAAGAGGAAGTGTGTGTGTGTTATTTGTTTCTTAGGTAGTGAGTGAGAGAGTATGGTGTGTGTAAGTGTGTATATTCGTGTGTTTGTGTGTGTGTGTGTTTAAGTGTGTGGTCTCAACATCTCCCTAAGCATGTCTGTCCTGTGTGGCTGAGAAATGTGGGTAGGTGCTGATTTGTAGGCTTATATATTAATACTATCTATATTGTTAAATTTGTGGTTAAGCTCAGCTGGATAGTGTGTTTTTAAACATTGTATCCACTTATTTTCATGGAACTCTAAAATCTTTCTAATGTTATCTGCTCTGAACTTTTCTATTCTCTCAATTATAGTGCATTTAGCATGGGCTTTGAAATCATGTTTTTCCAGGCGGAAATGTTGTTCTACAGGTAATAATTTTTCATGGGGAGTCGACTTAATTCGATTACGATAATTAATTCTGTAGTGAAAGGGCCATTCAGATTTTCCTACATATTGTTTCTGGCATAGTGTGCATTCTAGAAGGTAAATTATGTTATGACTTCTACAGTTAGAATCGTGGTAGATTTTGAAAGTAGATTTAGTGATTGAGCTAGTGAAGGAATTTGTGTGTTTAATATGGTTGCAACATAAGCTTCTTTTTTGTTGTTACATGGTGGGAAAAATCTATTATTTTTTTGTTGTTGGTTTATTACGGATTACCTTGTCCCTGAAATGTGTTACTACCTATGATTTCTTTTAGGTTCTTAGGTCTCTGATATGCAAGAAAGGCCGGGTTCCTTAAGCAGTTTTTTTAGGTCTGGTTTGAGATGAGGTATTTTCAACGATGTTTGATTATTTGGGATAGTGGAGGCAGAGTGGGGTTGAAAGTGGTTACTAGAGGGATGTGGCTGGGTTTATTTTTAATCTTGTATATTAGGGTGTCATCTTTAGGTGTAGAAATTGCTTTATTTATTTGTTCCTGATTAGGTGTTGTTTATAGCCACGTGGTATGAATTGATGCTCCAGATTTTCAATGTGTTTATTTAGTTCTTCATTGTTGGAACATATCCTTCTAAGTCTCAGTGCTTGTGAATAGGGGAGGTTCTCTTTGTGGTGCTTAGGGTGGGAATGTGTGTGTGTGTGCGTGTATGTCTGTATGTGTGTGTATATATATGTATATGTGTGTATACATATATATGTGTGTGTGTATATATACGTATGTGTGTGTGTCTGTATATATACACGCACACACAGAGATATATATATATCATGTATAAATATATTTGATACAAAAATATAAAGTGTGTCACTTATATGATTGGTGTTACCTACAGCACCCGCGTTCCAGTGTTTCTTAGACAGAGCCTCCAGCAATCAATCCATCCACTCGTCAGGGTTTATCAACAATTGACTCTTTATATTTCTCTTTTATTTTTCATATATGTACTTTTCCTTGATCCAAGGTATATGTATATGCATACATGTAGAATGTCATCCTTTCTTGTTACTTGATACACTCTCTTTGTTGGGTTTATAATTTTATTTTTTAAATGGGTTAAATTGAAACAATCTATTATTTAAAATAAATAAATACATGAATTTATTCCTCAAACTAAAACAAAATAATAGTTAGGAGAAAAAGAATTAAAACAAAAAAAATTCAACAGCAATACAACATTTACTCACTTTTATTTATCAGGCATTAAATTACATCACTTAGCATCCTCCATAGTTTACTTTGACTTTCACGGCCTGAAGTATATTTATGAGCCTTCTTTGATCTTCAAACATTTAAATGCAATATCAATGATTATCTTTATCTCTTTAATTCCTTCACTTTTATTGTTCTCTCTCCTTAATAGTGTTTTATTTTCTCATATTCTAATATTAAGCTTAGGTGTTTTAATGGCTTTATTGCCTTGTTTGATATGAAATGATTGAAACAAATTCAAATTCTTAAAGATAAAAATGTTGAAAACCTAATATCTTTTTTGTGTTTATAAATACTTGTTGCAAAATAAAATCCTTACATTTGTCTTGATGAAGTCCATCAGAGGATGAAGTCTGTTGTTCATATATGATGTTATTTTTTTATCATAATAATAATAATATAGTTAAAAAAAATAATCTTTTTTTGTTAATCTGTTGATGTGTGAAAATGTTTTTTCTCAATATTTCTCTTTTTTATTTTCTATTGAATAACTTGATTGATTCTAATTTCAGATGAAGGTTTTAAAAAGTTATTTGAAATGTCCAGTCAAAAATTAATAAATAAATTTGAAGGTAATGATTGATTTATATTGTTTTTTTTGTTTTTTTGTTAATATGATTCCCACTGTGTTTCATGATGAAAGCTAAAATTGGTAATAAAATCGATTTCCTTTTTCCTTTTATTTGTTTATTCTTTTTCTTTTCTTTTTTCTGTTCTTTTTTTCTTTTCTTTTTCTTTTCTGTTTTTATTTCTTTTTCTTTCCTTTTTCCATTTTTCTTTTTTTTCTTTTCCTTTTTTCTTTTCTTTTTTCTTTTCTTTTATTTCTCTTTTCTTTTTCTTTTCTTTTTTCTGTTCTTTTTTCTTTTCCTTTTTTCTTTTTCTTTTTTCTGTACTTCTTTCATTTCTTTTTGTCTTTTCTTTTTCCTTGCAGTCAATGGTTACATAAATGTTTTTTTTTAAATTTATCTCTTCAGTCCCAGATGACCAGTTAGACACATTAAAAGATAGAATAACTTTTCGATTCATGGAAATAAATCCTTTTCGTTTGTCTTGGACGATTACTTGTGAGAGAAAGGAGTTTTTGCGTAAGTGTATTTTTATTTTCTTTTGCTTTACTCCCCACCCTTTATTTTTTCCCTGAGGTAGTTTAGAAGAGTTGAAATTTTGTGCAAACATGAATAAATCTGCCCACAGACAGATAGTAAACAAAATGTTTTCCCTCTGGCACTGCATTTTTTACAAGCTTCTTTGGTAATTTTTGTTGTTTTAAAAAGTTATGATTAGAATTTGAATAAAACCTAAACACATGAAGAAAGTTAATTTGAGCTTTTTTTTTATTTAGACACAAATGTTTAAAGGGTGTTGATGAATTAGGAACAGAAACATTAATGATGAGCAGAAAGAGAAAAGAGTAATAAGGAGAACAGTAGATAGTGATTGACATTGCATTTAATGTTTTAGTTGGTATCATCCCAAGTAAGGCAGTAATGCCACTAAAAACTGAAAGAAGGGGTTACAGGGTATGTATTAATTAGGAACAGAAACATTAATGATGAGCAGAAAGAGAAAAGAGTAATAAGGAGAACAGTAGATAGTGATTGACATTGCATTTAATGTTTTAGTTGGTATCATCCCAAGTAAGGCAGTAATGCCACTGAAACAGAAGGGGTTACAGGGTATGCATTAATTAGGAACAGAAACATTAATGATGAGCAGAAAAGAGAAAAGAGTAATAAGGAGAACAGTAGATAGTGATTGACATTGCATTTAATGTTTTTAGTTGGTATCATCCCAAGTAAGGCAGTAATGCCACTGAAACAGAAGGGGTTACAGGGTATGGATTAATTAGGAACAGAAACATTAATGATGAGCAGAAAAAGAAAGAGTAATAAGGAGAACAGTAGATAGTGATTGACATTGCATTTAATGTTTTAGTTGGTATCATCCCAAGTAAAGGCAGTAATGCCACTAAAACAGAAGGGGTTACAGGGTATGGATTAATTAGGAACAGAAACATTAATGATGAGCAGAAAAGAAAAAGAGTAATAAGGAGAACAGTAGATAGTGATTGACATTGCATTTAATGTTTTTAGTTGGTATCATCCCAAGTAAGGCAGTAATGCCACTAAAACAGAAGGGGTTACAGGGTATGGATTAATTAGGAACAGAAACATTAATGATGAGCAGAAAAGAGAAAAAGAGTAATCAGGAGATCAGTAGATAGTGATTGACATTGCATTTAATGTTTTAGTTGGTATCATCCAAGCAAGGCAGTAATGCCACTAAAACAGAAGGGGTTAAAGGGTATGGATTAATTAGGAACAGAAACATTAATGATGAGCAGAAAAGAGAAAGAGTAATCAGGGAGATCAGTAGATAGTGATTGACATTGCATTTAATGTTTTAGTTGGTATATCATCCCAAGTGAGGCAGTAATGCCACTAAAACAGAAGGGGTTACAGGGTATGGATTAATTAGGAACAGAAACATTAATGATGAGCAGAAAGAGAAAAGAGTAATCAGGAGATCAGTAGATAGTGATTGACATTGCATTTAATGTTTTAGTTGGTATCATCCCAAGTGAAGGCATGGTAATGCCACTAAAACAGAAGTAGGGTTACAGGGTATGGATTAAACAGAATTGGGAACAGAAACATTAATGATGAGCAAAAAGAAAAGAGTAATCAGGAGATCAGTAGATAGTGATTGACATTGCATTTAATGTTTTAGTTGGTATCATCCCAAGTGAGGCAGTAATGCCTAAAACAGAAGGGGTTACAGGGTATGGATTAATTAGGAACAGAAACATTAATGATGAGCAGAAAAGAAAAAAGAGTAATCAGGAGATCAGTAGATAGTGATTGACATTTGCATTTAATGTTTTAGTTGGTATCATCCCAAGTGAGGCAGTAATGCCACTAAAACAGAAGGGTTACAGGGTATGGATTAATTAGGAACAGAAACATTAATGATGAGCAGAAAGAGAAAAGAGTAATCAGGAGATCAGTAGATAGTGATTGACATTGCATTTAATGTTTTAGTTGGTATCATCCCAAGTGAGGGGCAGTAATGCCACTAAAACAGAAGGGGTTACAGGGTGATGGATTAATTAGGAACAGAAACATTAATGATGAGCAGAAAAGAAAAGAGTAATCAGGAGAACAGTAGATAGTGATTGACATTGCATTTAATGTTTTTAGTTGGTATCATCCCAAGTAAGGCAGTAATGCCACTGGAAAAGAGAAGGGGTTACAGGGTATGGATTAATTAGGAACAGAAACATTAATGATGAGCAGAAAGAGAAAAGAGTAATAAGGAGAACAGTAGATAGTGATTGACATTGCATTTAATGTTTTAGTTGGTATCATCCCAAGTAAGGCAGTAATGCCACTGAAAACAGAAGGGGTTACAGGGTGATTGGATTAATTAGGAACAGAAACATTAATGATGAGCAGAAAAGAGAAAAGAGTAATAAGGAGAACAGTAGATAGTGATTGACATTGCATTTAATGTTTTAGTTGGTATCATCCCAATACCACTAAGGCAGTAATGCCACTGAAACAGAAGGGGTTACAGGTATGGATTAATTAGGAACAGAAACATTAATGATGAGCAGAAAAGAAAAAAGAGTAATAAAGGAGAACAGTAGATAGTGATTGACATTGCATTTAATGTTTTTAGTTGGTATCATCCCAAGTAAAGGCAGTAATGCCACTAAAACAGAAGGGGGTTACAGGGTATGGATTAATTAGGAACAGAAACATTAATGATGAGCAGAAAGAGAAAAAAGAGTAATCAGGAGATCAGTAGATAGTGATTGACATTGCATTTAATGTTTTAGTTGGTATCATCCCAAGTAAGGCAGTAATGCCACTAAAACAGAAGGGGTTACAGGGTATGGATTAATTAGGAACAGAAACATTAATGATGAGCAGAAAGAGAAAAGAGTAATCAGGAGATCAGTAGATAGTGATTGACATTGCATTTAATGTTTTAGTTGGTATCATCCCAAGTGAGGCAGTAATGCCACTAAAACAGAAGGGGTTACAGGGTATGGATTAATTAGGAACAGAAACATTAATGATGAGCAGAAAGAGAAAAGAGTAATCAGGAGATCAGTAGATAGTGATTGACATTGCATTTAATGTTTTAGTTGGTATCATCCCAAGTAAGGCAGTAATGCCACTAAAACAGAAGGGGTTACAGGGTATGGATTAATTAGGAACAGAAACATTAATGATGAGCAGAAAGAGAAAAGAGTAATAAGGAGATCAGTAGATAGTAGCATTTAATGTTTTAGTTGGTATCATTGGCGAGGCAGTTTGAAGGGGTTACAGGTATGGATTAATTAGGGAAACATTAATGATGAGCAGAAAAGAAAAGAGTCCAGGAGATCAGTAGATAGTGATTGACATTGCATTTAATGTTTTAGTTGGTATCATCCCAAGTGAGACAGTAATGCCACTAAAACAGAAGGGGTTACAGGGTATGGATTAATTAGGAACAGAAACATTAATGATGAGCAGAAAGAGAAAAGAGTAATCAGGAGATCAGTAGATAGTGATTGACATTGCATTTAATGTTTTAGTTGGTATCATCCCAAGTGAGGCAGTAATGCCACTAAAAACAGAAGGGTTACAGGTATGGATTAATTAGGAACAGAAACATTAATGATGAGCAGAAAAGAAAAGAGTAATCAGGAGATCAGTAGATAGTGATTGACATTGCATTTAATGTTTTAGTTGGTATCATCCCAAGTGAGGCAGTAATGCCACTAAAACAGAAAAGGGGTTACAGGGTATGGATTAATTAGGAACAGAAACATTAATGATGAGCAGAAAGAGAAAAGAGTAATAAGGAGAACAGTAGATAGTGATTGACATTGCATTTAATGTTTTAGTTGGTATCATCAAGCCACTGAAACAAAACAGAAGGCAGTAATGCCACTAAAACAGAAAGGGGTTACAGGGTATTGGATTTAATTAGGAATCCCAAGTAAGGCATTAATGATGAGCAGATTAAAAGAAAATGAGCAAAAGAGGAGAACAGTAGATAGTGATTGACATTGCATTTAATGTTTTAGTTGGTATCATCCCAAGTAAGGCAGTAATGCCACTGAAAACAGAAGGGGTTACAGGGTATGGATTAATTAGGAACAGAAACATTAATGATGAGCAGAAAGAGAAAAGAGTAATAAGGAGAACAGTAGATAGTGATTGACATTGCATTTAATGTTTTAGTTGGTATCATCCCAAGTAAAGGCAGTAATGCCACTAAAACAGAAGGGGTTACAGGGTATGGATTAATTAGGAACAGAAACATTAATGATGAGCAGAAAGAAAAGAGTAATCAGGAGAACAGTAGATAGTGATTGACATTGCATTTAATGTTTTAGTTGGTATCATCCCAAGTGAGGCAGTAATGCCACTGAAACAGAAGGGTTACAGGGTATGGATTAATTAGGAACAGAAACATTAATGATGAGCAGAAAGAGAAAAGAGTAATCAGGAGATCAGTAGATGGTGATTGACATTGCATTTAATGTTTTAGTTGGTATCATCCCAAGCAGTAATGTCAAAACAGAAGGGTTTACAGGCATGGTAATGCCACTAAAACAGATTACTTATTTAAAGTTGGTTTACAGGGTATGGATTAATTAGGAACAGAAACATTAATGATGAGCAGAAAGAGAAAAGAGTAATAAGGAGAACAGTAGATAGTGATTGACATTGCATTTAATGTTTTTGGTATCATCCCAAGCAAGGCAGTAATATGAAACAGAAGGGTTTACAGGGTATGGATTAATTAGGAACAGAAACATTAATGATGAGCAGAAAAGAAAAAGAGTAATAAGGGAGAACAGTAGATAGTGATTGACATTGCATTTAATGTTTTAGTTGGTATCATCCCAAGAAGGCAGTAATGCCAATTGAAACAGAAGGGTTTACAGGGTATGGATTAATTAGGAACAGAAACATTAATGATGAGCAGAAGAGAAAAAGAGTAATAAGGAGAACAGTAGATAGTGATTGACATTGCATTTAATGTTTTAGTTGGTATCATCCCAAGGAGGCAGTAATGCCAC